CTTGTCGCCTTTTAGTGTCTTCTTCCTTCCCAATTAAAAACTCTGAGAAAAATAAGCAGGTTCTTTTAAAAACTAAAGTTTTAAAGGGAAATATCTCATTTGAAAAAATCTCAACAGGGTTTTTGATCTAAAGCCAGCATTTTTATTGAGAATGTTTTCATGGTTGGTTTTTACTTCCCTCCCCCCCAACATAAACAAAATTTCAGATTGAATTAAAAATTTCCATTCTGGTTGAAAAGCCAGTCCTTTTCTGTTGGAAAAATACTTTGATGCATTAAAAGAAAAAAAAAAAAGGCAACCTTTTGAAAAACACCTGACTTCTATTTAGATGAAAACTACCCAGCTGAAAATCTCAAACCCCCAAAGCATCAGATACTAAACCTATATGCCGTTTACACTCCCAGTGGCAGGCAGCAATATCCTTTTCTTCCAAAATACCCTCAGCTTTCTGTCTGTTTGCAGGCTTTCTGGCATATGGATTTAAGTTTCAGGGTTCTTAATTTATATACATATGCATACATACATATATACATGTGTCTATGTATATATAAAAGTCACTGTGGCTTCATATCCTCAGACTGTACGTAACTGTCTCCTCTCTTGTTCCTGGCATTGACATTTTGGTCCTGTTTGTATGGGGACATTGAGAAAAGGAGCTGGAACGAATTTGCCATGAAGTGTCTTGGGGCCTACAAACAGGTACCTATGTTTAAACTTGAATTATTTGTCATCTTGGGTCCAAAGAGGTAGCTCTGTCTGGAACAGAAGCAACTCTGTTTCGGGGTTGAAAAGGCACATTTGCACACCTTGTCGTTAATGTACCATGTTTAGTAAAGTTTATGTTTCATGAGGTAAATCAGGGAACAATGACATTTCAAAATCTACAGAGATTTAAAGAAAGACTCATGTGCCCCAAAGCACCTTTTCTTCTTCCCTGCAACTTTATCAGCTGAAATTAGAAAATTGAAGACATCACCCTTTCCTGCAAACTTTGCAGTCACTGAGATTTTAAGGGCATTATGAAAGGATTTGGCTTTAAAGCAAAACTTTAGCTTTTAATGTTGTATCCTGTTTTCTCTCAACCTTTAGATGTCATAAAAGAGACAATAAAGAAAAAGCACTACTCTCTTTTAACAGTGACAATGTAAGCTGAAACAACTCTAAGGGGAATCCCACATTAGCAACCTTTTCTTTCCTTTGTCACAGCAGCATAAGCAGAACATGGGTGTCCCAATCTGCCCTTGGCATTCTCAAATAGAGCATTTTTGAAATAATCTCAGAATCACAGAGTCACAGGATGGGTCAGGTTGGAAGGGACTACAGTGGGTCATCTGGTGCATCCTCCCTGCTCAAGCAGGGTCATCCCAGAGCACACAGCACAGGAATGTGTCCAAATGGTTCTGGAATATCTCCAGTGGGGGACACTCCACACCCTCTCTGGACGATCTGTTCAGAGCTCAGTCACTGTAGAGGAAAGAAATTCTTCCTTGTATTCAGATAGAACTTCCTGGGCATCAGTTTGTGCCCGTGGCCTCTTGTCCCATTGCTGGGCATCCCTGAGCAGAGCCTCGTCCATCCTCTGCCCCCTCCCTGCAGACACTGACAGACATGGATGAGTCCCCTCTCAGTGTCTTTTCTCAAGGCTGAACAGCCACACCTCCCTCAGCCTTCCCTTGTTAGAGAGATTCTCCAGTCCCTTCATCATCTCTGTCATGCTCTGCTGGACCTGCTCCAGGAGCTCCATGTCTCTCTTGTCCTGAGGAACCCAGAACTGGACACAGTACTCCAGATGTGCCTCACCAGGGCTGAGCAGACGGACAGAATCACCTCTCTCAACCTTCTGGCAATGCTCCTCCTAATTCACCTGAGGATACCATTGGCCCTTTCCTGTGAGACCATGATTCAGGTCAGAGGGAGAAAGAATCAAGCTGGAAGCTGATGCAGGTGTTATCAAGAGCATCTTGCCTTATGTCTAATGAGAGAGAAAAAACTGACATTGGTAATACCAAGAATACCAGACAGGAAATTAAAATTGCTCAAGAATAATCAAAAATCTACAAGGAAGTGGAGCAACCATGGGCAACTGTAGCTGCAAGACTTTCTTGCTCTAGTGTGGGTTTCTGATCTCAGTGGGTTTCTGCCTCTGAGAACTAAGGGCAATGAATGCTCTTGCAGCCACCACCATGGCCCTGCTCAGTAACAGCTCCAACACCAACTGGAATGAGACAAAGCTCCACTGAAGCTCCAGTACTTGCTGGGTGGTTCTTGTTTTCCTGTATCAGACCTTCCACATTTGTTCTTCATCCTAGAGAAATGAGGACTGTTCTGCCATTGTCTTTTAGTTTATCTCTCTCCATCTCTGATCTTAATGATAAGAAAAAGGGAATGAACTTTCCAGTACTGCAACACTGCTGACTTTGGTAATGAATTGTGGAGCAATTACTCTGGTCAGAGATTTTAGGGAGGAGCCTTTTCACGTGCTTTGCTCTCACACAAAAGCAGCGTGTACAAAATGAAGACTTCCTGTCTCCACCAGACCTGACTGAAATGGTCAAACCGTTTCTCAAGCTCCATGGCTGGATCTCAAGTTGGGACTGAGGCTCTTCAACTGGCATGGGAGCTGCTGCATGATCCAGCTCACCGGCTGGGGAGAAAGCAAATACCACAGGTCCTCCTCCAGTATGCAAGAATGGGATCAAATCCATCAGTAAGGTCTTTCTCAAGTCATCAAGTCTCAGATGTCCAAGGTCATAAAGTCATAGAATGGTTTGTGTTGGAAGGGACCTTTAAAGTTCATGTATTCCAATCTCCCTGCAATAAGCAGGGATGTCTTCAGCTAGATCAGGTTGTTCAGAGCCCTGTCCAACCTGATCTTCAATTTTTCCAGGTCCTGTGGTCGTGATTCTTCATCATGTCATTTTGGCATTAGGACCCCTTGGGGTGTCATGGTGTGAGATCGTCCCCCAACAACAACCGCCAGTCTTACTGCAGATGCTTCAGGGGCAGACTCCATGAGAAGTTCAGAACAGATGTCCACGTTTTACTTATAAGGTTATAAGTTGATGAGGCAAGAGTCAATTCCAGACATGGTGGTGATTCACTTGGCATTGAAACAGAGCAGCGATGATTGGAACTGGAAGATCTTTAGGGTCCCTTCCAACACAAACCATTCTGTGATTCTATAATTCCATGATTCTTACAGATGCTACTCGTGGTTGGTGATTTGGGTTTTTTTGGTTTATTTTTTTGGCTATCCAGAAGCTGATTAAAGAAGTAATGAATTTAGTTTTCATTATCAGTTTGTTGATTTTAAATTGTCTCTCATGGAAATTGCACCTCCTCTCTTCTCAGCACAGGGTTTGCGCATCTGTTTCCTCAGAAATGTTGGAGCTGTCTGAAACAAACTTTTAGTCTTTTCTGTTTGCTCTCAATTGGAAGAGAAACTACATTAATATTGACAAGGTTTTGTAAAAAAAACCCCACAGTGCTTAGGGATTTGGGGTAGAGATTTTCTCACCTCTTTTCTACCTCTCCTGCCATTCAGAGGTTTTCCCCAGAGAGCTCAGGATATTTTGCCCAGTGAGGTTTGAACTTTGCTGCTGTTGGGAGCCTCTCAGATGCCATTGCCCCAGGCTCTTTGTTTAGAGCACTGAGTCAAGTTACTAGGAAGATGAAAAGCATTTGCTGAATTTAAGATGAAGATGGGCTGATTTTGAATCTGTATTAAATTTTTCTCCGGAAATAAATATTTAATTTTGTCAGATTGGAGGGGCACCTCTAGCAGAAGGTGTCCCTGCCCACAGCAGTGGGGTTGGAACCGAATGATCTTAAAGGCCCCTTCCAACCCAAACCATTCCGTGATTCTGTGATTCTCTATAAGTACATGTTGCAAAAAAAAAAAAAAAAAGAAACAATCAAATTCCTCTAATAACTTAGGGGACAACTTTTCCCATGCGCAGCTTAACAAGTCTGTCTACAAAAAAATAAGGTAGGATTATGTCCAATGTTCACAGCATTGCATGGATCCTGAGCTGTCAGAGCATCAGGAAGTTTCTTGAAATGTGTTGAGCAAGGTAGATATTTACCAGCTGAGGCCCTGTCCTGCTTTATTCTCTTACCCTGTACAGACTTCATTGATATAAGCTAAAATACAGTGATTGGAAAAGGCATTTACAGTGGGAAGCAGAATGGAAAAATTCAAATTGGGGCCAACCAAGGGAGGAAAAAAAAAAAATCACCTGCCAATAAAATTGACACACAATGGGAATAATTGCAAGTCTGGGGAGAAAAAATGCATTCTCACTCTGTTCTCCACAGCATGGTATCTTCTCTTAGAGCAGAATGACTGAATTTATTGAGGTCATTCATCCCCTGGTAATTTGGCTACTGTAATATATTTCACAAGTGAGAGGGAAGCAGCCTGATGAGACAGCATGTGAGAATCCAGAGCACTGGGGGAGGAGGTTTATCCAAATTTATAGCCACCACTAAGGATGTGGTGTTTATAATTCACGGTTACTCTCTCCCCCTTTAGCACTGAGAAATCTATCCTGCTAATGGCCTCTTAACATTCTGGTGCAAATTCAAATCTCAGTGATGTTGGTGTAAAATCCTCTGAGACTGATGGACTCAGTCTGGATTAAAATCATGACCTTCTCTATATTCAAAAGCTATTTTGGATAAGCTTGCTCCTAACACAAGCTGGCCTGGCATTCAATTTCCATGGGTGACAGAGGAGCTTCTGCTTTAAGTTTGTTTCCTCTTGATTCCTGTGGGGACAACTTGTCTTACTGCCACACTAGACATCAAGATGACAAAATATTCTTGAGATTAAGAGATGTCACCTCTCCTAAGACCCAGGCTAAGGCACAAACACAACACAAATTAAATGAGATGGGATATCTATAAAAATGTCAGAGACAATAACAGAACTGATGGCAGAGTTATTAATTTTTGCAGTGTTTAATGTAAGTTGCAAGAGTTTTTCAGCATCAAAAAAAGCCAATTTTTTTTTTGCCCCAGGTTGAGATATTTTTTTATAAAGTTGGAGTCAATAACAGAAAAAAGATTAATAAAATGGATGTATAAGCCCTACAGAGCAGGTAGTCTTTGGGATTTAGAGGACGCTTAAGAATAGAAGATGAAAATAGAAGCCAATCAAGTGCAGATAAGTTGGATTTTGCAGAATAAACCACTCAAAGTTTTCTTGTTACAAATTTCACCCAAAAAATATCACAATACTTCCCCATTAAATCCACTTTTTTTTTTTTAGTTGAAAAGGTCTATTTCTGGCATCAGTTACACAGGAAGCTAGACAAAATTACAGTGGTGCTCTTTTGGTCTTAAAATATCTATTTATTAAAGCTTTGATTTCCAGCCTGCACATTCCTCCTGCATGGTTATTTCTGTCTGATAAGATTGTAAGTATTAATTAAGTCATGCTAATGAGGACAGAAAGAAAGGGTTTTCCCAGCTCTCCCACTATATTTCAAGTATTGCCAGTGTCAGTTCTCTCTTGTATCTCCCTCCAGCTTTGCTGTCTCCTGTGTTTCTTCATAGGGGAAGGAGAGTTAAAAGCAGCAAGTCATAAATCACCAGACATCCTCGTTGTAACAGGATGATCCCTAGTTAGAAGAGGATTTCCCCTCATCTTGTGAGTGGGAGTAATTGTTCTGTGGCTCCTGGTTTCTCTTTGAAGCACATGGAAGAGGAGCATCTTCTTTTGAAGCCCAGCTGTGTGACAGGACCAGCAGCAGAGGAGGGAGATGCTCAGTGGTGATGCTGGTCTGTGCCAGGGAAGTTGCGTGGGAGAGTTCCGACTGTCTAGCCTGTTGCTCCTCTCCTTGGATGTGACCACTGAAAAAAAAAAAAAGGCAAAAATACAGCCTGCAGTCTTCTGGAAAGGAGATTAAATCTGACAAAAAAAATGGGAATGCAAGGCAAACATCTAGCCTTAAAACATGTGCCTCAGTTTCCCCAAAATTTCTAGGATAACAGCGTGATCTAATGAGCCATTAATCGTAGAATCATGGAACCACAGAATCGCAGAATCATAGAACCACAGAATCATAGAATCACAGAATGGTTTGGGGTTGGAAGGGACCTTCAAGAGCTCATTCCAATCCCCTGACATGGGCAGGGACACTTTCCACTAGACCAGGTTGCTCTAACATGGCCTTGGACATCTTCCAGGGATGGGGCAGCCACAGTTTCTCTGTGCCAGTGCCTCACCACTCTCATAGTAAAGAATTTCTTCCTAATATCTAAGCTAAACCTACTCTCCTTTGACTTAAAGCCATCACCCTTTTTCATAGCAAACTAAAAATCCACAAGGTCTGGGTTAATCCTATCCTCTTCTTTTTGGTAACAGCATAATCACTACATTTTTCTTCATTTCTGCCGTGTGTTGCTGCCTTGATTCTGTCTGTTCAGTTTGGGTTTGAGGTTCATTGGACCAGCTCCCACATCCCTTTAGAAAAGTGTGATGTAACTGCCCTGTCAGGGCCCCATGGTGCTGTCACACTACCGACACGCATATACAAATTCCCTTTTTTTTTTAAGTCAGTCTGGTAGTCTGAGGTTCAATTCCTTAATAAAAGAAGCATGGATGGCAGCAATGGCAGGGCAGAAAGCCCCATCCTTGTGGCAGGAAGCAGCACACGCTCTTCCTTTCAAAAACAAACAAGCAAAACTGTGGAGAAAGTTTCCCTCCCTCGGCAGCTCCCTGGGCAGCAGTGGAACATTTGAGCCAGGTCTGTGGGGATTGCTGTCTCCAGCCCCGAGGGGTGGAAGTGCTCTGAGGACTTTCTGCTCTGTTTTTCCCTGTCCTGGCCAACTTCCTATGTATAGGATAAAAATAAGCCCTGAGTCCTCCTCCTTCCGTCCACTTCATTAGAGACATCCCTCGGTGCAATAACAAAACAGGCCCAGAGGAAGCGACACAGACCGAAACACAAGAACGATAATTTTCCTAACACAAATAAGCAGGCAGAGGAACTCATCTAAGGAAACAAGTGAGCGAAGGCAAAGCCACAGATGAGCAAGCAATGGAGCCAAGAGTTATGCTTAGGCAACACAAGCTTGCCTCCAGCACGTCTCCCGAGACATCCCCGCCTGGGAAAGGCTGAGTGTGGACATCCCTGTAAGGGGCTGACCACCCCTGAGCCCACATCCCATGAGCAGCCAGACCTGGAGTGATCCTCACCCCACTTAAGGGAAACTTAATGGGAAGAGTCTCCTTTTTCTCACTGTGGACCTGGACTGACCCTTAGCCAGCCCTTACTGTGTCTTGCCCTGTGCTTCAGAAGCACCAAGAAAGACCACAAAACAGAGAGGCACAGGTTAACAGGAGGGATAGCAGTTCTCCAACTTCAGGAAAAAAAGTGACTGGGCTCAGTTCACTCTATTATTTGCCATTTAGAGGCACTGACACTGCCGCTCTTCAAAATAACCTCATCCCAAGTGTTTATTTATATAGAAATTCATCCTGGATATTTGCCGTGAGTTGTAGATCTGTTTGAAAAGCTTCAATCATCAAATCAAGGAGAGGAAAACAAAAGCAGATCTCTCAGCTGGCCGGTCCCCACTGCAAAAAGGAAGCAAAGAAAACAAACCAGAGGCTGAATGTTTCTTGCTGTAAATGATCAGTGAATGTCTCTGAACACTAGCTCAGACCAAGGAAGCCAAGATCACTTTGTGAATGACTTGTTAGGTCAAAAAGAACCATATTCATAATAAATAGTCTTTGAAACCATTCTTTCATGCAAGCTCCATTTTCACAAAGTCGTTTTTATAGGTAAACAACCAAGCCCTCACTACCCAGGAAGTTAATGGCAGAGATAAGGAGGAGACCCGAGGCTATGTCTCTTTTAGAAAATTAAACCCGGACTGTTCTCTAGCCCAGGAGGCCAACTGGCACAGAAATACCTGCATCCATTCATTAAACTCTCCCACTTTCCAAAACAGAGGAGCTATATCCAAACTGCCAACTGGGAATGGCCCCTGCTGTGGTGGTTGCCCAACGGTGCCTGGAAACTGTTTGGACAGATGCTGGTGAGCCAAGGCCAAAAGTATGCAAGGGACCAACCTGAGGACCAAAAGCAAATTAAAGCACCTGGGAATGCTCCTTTGAAATGTGAAAAGTGTGGACATTGCCCAAGAGTTTGATCTCACGCCCTTGAAGCAGCATCACTGGACCTGTATCATTTAGCCAGAAAGTTTTACTCCTTCATTCATGCCTTGACTCCACGTATCCACCTTGGGGAGGAGTTGAGAAACTTGTTGGAACTTGGCAGGTCTGAAGGCTTCAGGGCCTCTTTCACATCTGTATTTTCCTTTACCAGTGTCCCTAGGACTGGAAAGGGACACTTGGGACATGAGTGTTTGCAGGTAGGGGTTCAAACCTCACCTGGGCTAGAAAGCAAAATTTATAGTGCTTGAAAACCACAAAAATTTAGGCACTGCTTCTGGGAACCTAAGTCTGATGTCTCATCCTTGTTAGCCAGCATGTCAACAGGCAACAAGGCTCATACTTCACGTTAAGGGTTCTCCTGGGGAACGTCTCAGTGGTACAATCACCTATTAACAGGGGAAAGAATGGGAGGGGACTCAAAACGCTTAACAGCTACACAGACATTTCCCAAAACGATCATTAACTTAAACCATTGAAAAACCCCTCTAGGGCTGGCCAGGGCTTTGTGAGATCCCTTGTTTCCTCTGGCTTAATGAATTATGCAAGTCAAGAGGGGCTGGACAGAAAGGTGTGAATAAGAAGCTTACTAATTCCCCACAGTAATCACCTGCAAAAGTGTTTAGGAACAACATCTATCAGGCACTAAAAAAAGTAAGAAAAGGAACCTACAGGAGTAAAATATCTACAGCTCCTCGGTAAGAGACAAGGGGAGACCTGAGCCAGGGAAGTGTCACCTTGACATGAATCTACTCCGGGCACTGAGCACACAGCAGTCATCAAATTGCTCACTCGTGGTCCCAGGGTCTGCTCTGCTCATATGGCAGGCACCTGCACTTTGCTGGAAACTTTGTTGTGAGGGAGTCCCAGCTTCAAAGCCAGTCTTGTGATTTTTGGTTCCTGTGTGTGAGGAGGGTATTAATAAATGTTGTATTAATAGATCATCTGCTTACATGTTTCCTGTCTTAAATGAAGAAGATATTGGATCAACCCCCTTTTCCGTGTACCTTCTTGGATGTTTGTAGTGTGAGGAAAAGTCAAGACGGCAACAGCAGGAATGGACTTTGAAATCCAAATAAATAGAAACTCAGACCTTAATGAGAGGAGAGTTGGAAGACCAATTCATAGCTGAATTACAGAGCATGGATGGATAATTGCTCTTGAAACTGTCTGAATCCAAGCTCAAAATCGAATATTCATCCTTGCAGTTTATGGAAGTTGGGAATCAGAGCCAAGATCTGTTACTCTTCTGGCTTGGGTTAACACTCCTCCTAAGACTTTTCAGTAGGTCAGGAAACCTTCATCCTTTCCCATTTTGATAAATGGGGCTCTTTCCTCATCATCCTCCACATGATATTTCCAGAGGAGAGGACATAAGTAGTATTTCAAGAACTGAATCCAGTCATGTCTCTAAGGATGATGTTCTCATCTTTCCACAATCTACTGAAAAGCTAGTGATCATTTTTTCCAATATCGTCTTTTTAAGAAGTTTTGCATGAATAGATTGAATAAGGATGGCACTGGCACTTTATTTCATCATCCAGCTCTTATCTGCAGTGTTTAACTCCTTCTATTGATGCTGCCTTTGCTTTAAGAATTCACAGAACATTACTGTGAATCATTTTTCATAAATACTGGAGTTGGTTGGAAAATTTAAAATCATTTTTCATGGGAAAACACCCCAATTTCCAGTAAAAAAAACACTATGGGAAAAAATTGGTTTCAGTTCATCTCCTGACTCAACATATGCCAAAAATCAGAAATCATTGAAGTGCCATATTGTGACATAAAAGAAAAATTAAGGGTGTTGTTTTGAGAAAATTAGACTCCGTAAAGATTGAAAAAAAATATATTTGCTAAAAATAAAAGTTTTATAATTAGTGGTATCAAATGTTTCATTTCATGCAAATCAACCTTTAAAATTGCTACTCAGAGAAGCTGTGCCTGCCCCATCCCTGGAAGTGTTCAAGGCCAGGTTGAATGGAGCTCTGAGTAACCTGGTCTAGTGGAAGGTGTCTCTGCTCATGGTAGGAAGTTTGGAACTAGATGATCTTTAAGGACCTTTCCAAGTCAAACCATACCATGATTCTATGACAATATGAATTTTAGTGTCTCAAGGTTCAGGGGTTTTTTTTAAATCTTGGGTGCTTTTATCTGTGTTCGGGGACTGTACTGCAGAATGTCAAATATTGTAACAGAACAGCAAAATTACTTTCTGCCCAGCTGTAACGTAGACCTACTTCAGAGCCATGTTACCAACTTTGCTTTTAACTACACCTCACTGGAGTGCACAGAGAAGGCTTCAAGGGAGAGAAAAAGTGGTCTCAGAGAAAATAAATCTGTTTAGCTGGCATTTGGCAGTGCAATCAGTGCTGTCTCACATTGAGGGAAACTGCAAGTGTCATAGCACGCTGACTTTGGGGGGTTATTGCTATGCCTTGCCAGGAGGTTCAGCATCTTTTGAAGTCAGCCAGCTTTCTCTAATGCAGTGAAATTCATCACCAATCACAGATATGCGTGTCCTGCCGGAATCTTTGATCTTCAACTTCTCTATCCATTTTGCTCTCTGTGTTCATTGGTCACAATGAGTTATGGCAGCTGTATCCTACATATTGTCCAAAGCTCTTTAGACGTCCAGCACATCATGGAAAGTTCCCAGGAAAGCTCC